CGCGGTCGAACAGCTTGGTGCTGGGCCACCCGCCTACAATCATGAGGAGCCCACAGTGCCACATGGATTCTAGGCGGGTGACCTTGCTGAGAATCTGTAAAGGGCTGATCATAGCAGGGGCGTTCTCGCGGTCTGGGCGCAAGAGCATGTCGTCTGCTTCATCTGCCACAATGTATGTCGTGCGATCGATGTCGTACTGTTCCGAGGAGAGAAGGTCCCCCAATTTGCCCGAGGAGGCACACAGGATGTCACATCTCGCCAGCTCAGGCCCTCTGTCACCTGTGCTGCAGCTCACCACTCGTCTTGGCAATCCACCATATTTACACCATGCCTCTGCCTCTTGCGCAATTTGTTGGTAGAGCTCTCTCAACAGGAAGCAGGATCAGGGCAATACCATCGTGAGCCCGAAGGGCTGGCTGCACCTCGACATCTTCCAGGAGAGGGAGCAAGCAGCAAAGTGTCTTGCCACTGCCACTTGGAGCAATGCCCACCAAATCCCGGCCTTGCATGAGCTACCGGACGCAGGCCCATGCAGAGGCTCTGCCTCTGGATGGGCGTGGGCTCCCGGTATCTCCGTTTGAACTGCTCCTTCACGGCATCTCCGAAAGGTGCATACTCAAGCTTGAAGATAGGCGTCGGCATGTTTTCTGGACAGTCTTGCTCAGTCTCCCAATCCACGATCTCAATGCCGTATTTTGTTCGCAGGAAGCTGCCGTTGCACCTGCTGTCTTCGATGAAGCAAGGATTTTGAGAATAATGCGTGGCAACACGCTGCGGCAAAGCAACGCCGCAGCGATCCTTCTCGGGGAGCGATGTCCTTCGCTTGCACGGCTGCATGTCACCTGTAGTTGCCACAGGCCGACGTGCAAGCCGCGCAAAGAGTCTGATCTACGAGATGCGGCTCCAATCAATGTAACACGGACTTGCTAAGCGCTTCTCGATGGATTAGCACTTTCCGTTCAGTGGAGTGCAGTGTATGGGTAGACTGTGCTCGCTGCAGGCTGATAGCAGCAGGAAGCTCAGTTGCGTGGTGAAGTCACCCTTTAAACCTTGGCAGAATACTTTCACAAATAGCAATTGGTTCTGTCAGTCAGTCCGTGGGTCCGTGAGGAGGGGTCGGTCGGTCTGTCTGTCTGTCTCTGCCTGTCTCTGTCTGAAACCCATCAGCTTTTCAGTCTGTCATGTGCCACTTTGCACCCTGAACTCCAACCGCGACCGTCGCCTGTGCCACTCTATGAAATTGATATCTGGCCTCCGGCTCATGGCCTTTGCTGTCCCGGACAGCACCATCAGCAGCTGCGCGGATAAGTTCACGGTGCTTTGCAAAGGCCCGGCGGAAGCGCTTCCGGCGAAGAAGGGGCACCTGAGTTCCGCACGAGCTTCCAGGTTGGGAATGGGGCGCGGGACACTCAACCCTTGTAACAATCCCGAGGACTGGAGGAAGCTAAACTGCAGGGAGACACAGCATTGCCAAGAGCAGCTTCAAGCTTTTAGCATGGGAAACGGTTTGGGAATTCGGATGTCTTCGGTTTCTTCACGGTTTTCACATAGCCAACCCCTAAGCCGGACAGGAATACGGGGCGCTTGATTGAATCTGCGGCTTGGCTACGACTGTGTTTGAGGTCGCCTTCATGTAGCGACGTTCCTACGACTCTAAGAACCAACTCACGGAGGAAGGTGGAGCTCCGAAAGAAACTTTCGAGGTACAGTACTCCATGAACTGTCCACGGATTCACAGAGGCCTAGACATTCCGCAACTCAGAGAAGAACTCAAATTCCTTCAGCATCCAGCCGCCCCCAGTAAGAAACGAAAGGGAAAGTCCCAAAAATGTGCTGATGGCTCCCTAAACCCTAATATAGTACCCTGAATAGTAGGATCCATATTATATGGACCCCAATATAAGGTACCCCTCCCTGACCAAGGTCTCAAAGCCATGTGGCATTCTCGGGCCTCAGCGCCCGCGCACGCGTAAGGAAGGCGGCACCCTCAGAGAGCAGGCACCGGGCGCCGAAGCTGTCGCCCTTAGGGAAAAACGAAGGAGGAGTGGATGTGATGGCTGTCGCGGTCGCAGTTTTGCCAGTGTAACAATGGTGATAATGTTCGTAGTAGGAATTCTAGTTGGTGGTGCTGGTGCTGGTGGTGGTGGCGGTGGCGGTGGCGGGGGCGGGGGCGGTGGTGGTGGTGGTAGTAGTAGTAGTAGTAGTAGTAGTAGTAGTAGTACTAGTAGTAGTAGTACTAGTAGTAGTACTAGTAGTAGTACTAGTAGTAGTAGTCGTAGTCGTCGTAGTAGTAATAGT